TTACGTATATATGTGTACAACTTTACTTGTAGTACATCCATTTATAACGGGTGAAATATATAAAACAAATCATTCAAAAAATATGTCATTTTCTTGAACATAATATCACATTTGATCATTGATATTATTTCGTCTAGATATTTCTTGGTTCTCCCCTTCATCGCCATTCGAATAACTCGCTCATACGAAAATACCTAACGCTTTTCGTCTCGCTTATTTTATACTTTTAAAAAAAGAATTTAACTCGTGAAAAATCATTAACGTTTGATTGATTGATTGATTGATTGTGTTAGCATCGATATCATATTAAATAAAAATTTAATTCGACAATTGTTTTTATTCTTAATGGTAATCGAATTATTCGAATAGTCTGTTTTAATAATATCTCACCCGGTATGCATTTATGTATACGTGTTTAAGTGTGCGTGTATTGGCAAGAAACGTTTGTACTGGAGCGTGCAATACATATCAGCGTGATAGCTGGTAGGACGAAAGAGGATGAAACTTTCTTCCTCTGTGGTAAAGAAGAAGAAGAAGAAGAAGAAGAAGCAGAAGAAGGTACCGCTAGTGCCCTTTGACCTCTCAAGCCAAGCGAACGAGGCCTCTTTCCTTCATGGGCACCGGTAATTTTACCTTCGATCCTGGCTTCCTGGTGCTACCCAGATCTAGATCATCGACGAAAATCCAAAGGAAAGATTCCTTGCTCCTTTCGCAAACTAAAGATTTACCATTTGATTCCTCATTCTTCTATCCTATCTTCTTTTTCTTCATCCAATTCGTAAATGAGAACACTATGTTGGAACACACTTGTTTCCTAAGCTGCTATAATACTTCAGGCACCTGAAACAGAACATTCGAAATACAATTGAAAATAGAAATTGTTCTATTTTTATCGAAGGAGAAAGAATTTTTTATTATGTGTGTGTGTATATGTGTGTGTGTGTGTGTGTGTACGTTATATTATTATTAATTTATATTTATATATTATTAGATTAATTTTGTAATTATTCGAAACTTGTGTATATTGTATATTAAAATATTATAAATATTGCAAATAAGATTGTTATTCCCTTTTTTTTGATTATAGAAATTTCAAAAACTCTCGTATCTCGTTTTCTAATTTTAGAATATAAGATGAAAAATTGCCATGACCTACTATGAAACAGGTGAAAGGTACCGAATTTCTTTTCTTTTTTTTTGTTTCATTAGCCAAACCTGTTGACAATTATCACATAGGTGTACGATATAATTAAAATAATATTTTAATATGATATTTTTGGAAATAACAATGCGAAATATTATTAACATTTGTAAAATAATTAACATTGAGTTAAATCACAAATTCGACAAAAAAAAAAAAAAAGAGTTATGAAAATCAGTTACAAAAATAATTGTGTAAATTTTTGTGTAATCGAATAATTCATTACTCTTAAATCTTTCATATATTCGCAATTTGAAAGAATAATGTGACCCTGAATGCTTTAAGATTATCAAGTACATTAACGAGTAAAAACTTTAACAGTATCTACAAGGATACCTTCTTCTTAGGTTGCATTCTCTCACGACGAAGAAAATCCTTCAGAAAGATAAAGAAAAACATAAACATGGGACAAAAATATAATCTCATAGTTATAAAAACTATCATTCGAAACAATCGTCATCGTTATAAATCACACACACACACACACAGACACAGACAGACCGACAGACAGTTACGTAGTATAATTAAAATATGCAACGACGATTTGAAATTATGTTGAATACTCCCAGAGATTATTAATTAATCAAATGCAGATATATGATAAACGATGCATCTATTAAAACAGTTACTTAAGAATTATCCATTAATATATCCTCTAAGTATTAAAAGTTAAAAAAAAAACAAAAATACAAATAAACTTTTATAAATACAATCTTACAATTATAACAAATTAAAACTGTCATATAATTATTATTTTAAAACCTAATATATTAATAAAACTAACATATTCAAATTGAATATATCTATTATTGAAATAAATAAAAATACAGAATAAAAGAAATATATATAATAAAGAAAAAGATTTAAAGAAAAAAGCAAATATATATATATATATATATATATATATATATATATTTTGGACATGGTGAAAAAAAGCAAATATATATATGGTGGAAGGATAGGTTGGTATTAATCGTTAATCGCCAATTACGCAGAGTTGAGTCCCGGTTCCAAAACTCTCAGAAGCATTTTAACGAGCCGCTCTCTGTGTCGCCCAGCAAAAGGAATTTAACTTGGTCTCATCCTTCGAGTAGCTTCCAACAACCATGGGCCCCCACGACGTGCACCCACAACGGTGTTCTTCGCGATATCCTTCTCTCTCTTTCCCTTTCTCTTTCTCTTTTCCTCTCATTCATTCCTTTTCCTTCCTTCCTTTCTTTATTTCTATCTTTCTTTCTCTTTCTCATTCTTACATGTTCCTCGTTTCTCCAACTACTATAGTCGTCCACCTCCTTTTCACCATGTCCAATATAAAGTAACTGTGTGTGCGTGCGTGTGCTGCACCCCGTACCAATTAGCGCATACTTCGGCTGTTGGTGTTCGGGACCCCAGCATGGTCCCGACAGAAGGTGCTCTCTCAGGACCCAACTACGAGAACGACGGTCCGTTTTCAAGGTGACTTTTCTTCGCATATTTAACCCTTCACGAACGTTAAACCTCAGTGCCGGATATCTCATTTTTCGAACCCTGATCAGTTAACATTAATCCTTATTTATTCAGTATTTTCTCTCGTCCAAAATTATAATTTTTTATGATAAAGGTTCATAGGGAACTTGGACATGAAAAGAAGTAGAACTTAATTTAATTAAGTTGGACGTTTCGTCCCTTTATTGGGACTTCTTCAGCAACTTATTCGTTAAAGCTCAGCGTATTTTTTATTTATTTCGACATACATTTCTCTTTATAGTTTTGTTGAGGTTTTTGAATAATAACGATCAAATTAACGAAGTTTAGATGTATTGTGTTTGGAATATTATAAAGAGAAATCTATGTCGAAACAAATAAAAAAGACGCTGAGCTTTAAAGATTAAGTTGCTGAAGAAGTCCCAATAAAGGGACGAAACGTCCAACTTAATTAAATTAAGTTCTACTTCTTTTCATGTCCAAGTTCCCTATGAACCTTTATCATCAAAAATTAATCCTTATATTTTTATACAAATAATAAACATATTTCGTATGTATATTTAATTTTGTAGGATGTAATCAGTTTTAGGTACACATGGTATAAATATGAGCATTGGAAAAGAACGTTTTCATTAATTTTTATAGAAATAATAAACATATTTCGTATGTATATTCAATTTGGTAGAATGTAATCAGTTTTAGGTACACATGGTATAAATATGAGCATTGGAAAAGAACGTTTTCATTAATTTTTATAGAAATAATAAACATATTTCGTATGTATATTCAATTTGGTAGAATGTAATCAGTTTTAGGTACACATGGTATAAATATGAGCATTGGAAAAGAACGTTTTCATTAATTTTTATAGAAATAATAAACATATTTCGTAAGTATATTCAATTTGGTAGGATGTAATCAGTTTTAGGTACACATGGTATAAATATGAGCATTGGGAAGGAACATTTTCATTATTTTACATGAATTTTGTAAATTTATTCATTAAATATTAATACCAGTTATCTTTCGTTGAACTTTCATTCTTTGTATAAAATAAATAATATAATCGTCATTTATACGATTCTTATTTTTCTTTTTAACGCAGTATGATCTACTTACGATCATGAAAGGTTAACCATGACTTATAAAAAATATTCAAATGCAGGTGTTCTGTTCACTTTTCTTTTCAAGAAAGAAAATTATTAATTAAAAAATAATACGCGCGCCGTATTATTATAAACTTCCTATTCCCATTTTCCTCTCGTCGATAGAATACTTCGATTTAATATCTTTTGTTTTTTTAGATATACGTTCGTATATCTACTATGAAAATGATGTAAATATATGTGCAATACTTACATACCTATTTATTCAGTTTTTTTTTTTGTTATTTAAAACATTGACCTTGTTTATTCAATCATAAAAATATTAATTATGCGAATAACTCGTCTACTCATTAATCACTCGTTACCATATTTGCATATGGCGTTCAAGTGTTTTTATAGGAAACGCGTATTCAATGCAATGTCGGATGTCGGCCAATAAAAAAAAATTTCTTCAGTATTCTATATGCATTTATAATTGGTCGATAATAGCCAATAATATAATTGCATTGTAATGATATGTAAATATTAATATGAAATAATTCGTCGAGAAATATTTGAACGTTTTGTTTTGTTCGCGCGCGTAATAATTTTTAATTAAATGCGTTCTTTTTTTTTTTTTTTTCAATAATTCATGCAAAATGTTAATATTAAATATAACGGTAGATTTAATATGATAGAAAAGGAATGGGAATTCTTCAGGACGTAATGATTAATTTCTTAAACAGAAAACACGACGAAATGAAACGCCTCTTTTACGGGGGTCCCCTCCCCCCCCCTCCCTTCCCCCAATAACGGTGTCTGGCATCGTGTTTCGCGCCATAAGTTTTTAAGTATATAGTCAATGTAAAAGCTACGTGTAATAATCTACGACGAAATAACAGATATCTAAAATCCGAGGAATACCATTATGTAATTTCTTACATCTATCTATTATTTGTAGATAAAAAGAAAAGGAAAAGAAATAAAAAAATATCCTGACAAATCGTTTTATTGTATAATATCTCAATTCTTCATCAAACGCGTGTTGTTTTTTTTTGTTTCTTTTATCTTTTTTTTTTTTCGAAAGGAGGCATAATATAAACGTTTGACAGGCCAACTGCTCGCTCAAAAACATCATAATTCGTTTGTTAATGTCACCATTAACCAAACCTATTTCGAGTCAGAATTCTTACAAAAATTGTCTGCACTTTATATATTTATCTTTTGAAAAATTAAGTCCGATTAGAAATATGTCGTCGTGTTTCGGTGGTCAAGAAAAACAAATATATCTGGTCGAAGTATTGATCGATAAATTACAATTGACGGCGGATAAAATGAAGGATATCGGTGAACAAGGTGTTACGATTAAAGTCAAATTACTCGATTTTCCAATATTCGAAATCGCGCGTGAGGATTTTGAATCGGTGAACATTCCTCCTATAGGAGAAAACGGGATTATCAAATTTTCCATTGGTAGAAGTTGTTTATTTATTAGAAAACCGAAAGAACTTGTCGAAGAACTACGAACGACCAATGTCGTAATCGGTGTATTTTGTATCGGTGACAGTTATCCTTTAGCAGAAACCACTGTCAAATTATCCGGTTGTCTATGCGACCAAGTAGCAATGTCAACTAATGATCCCGAAAATATGCCTAAACCATTCTCGATAAATGGTGGTTTTCATCTATTAGATCCAGGAGAAAATCCATCAGGAATGTTGGACATGGAATTGAAAATCACTTGTTTCGGGCGATTCATAATAACGAAATACGAGCTGAGGCCGAATTTCGTGATTTTCAAAAAACAAGGGGACATGAGAGAATTTTGCGTAGAACGTAACATACCGCCTCACGTTCGTGAAAATTTGATCAAAGCGGATTATCCATTACCGGAAACCGTACGCGAAAAATTAATCCCCAGTTCCGAGATCAAAGTTCCTGATCAGCAAAAGAAAGAAAAAAAGGGAAGCAAGAGAGCATCGAAGAGAAGATGATTCGATTTTTACAATTAAAATTGATAATACGAATTTGGAAAGAAATGTAATCTAATTGAAATAAATAAAACTCACACACAATTGAAATGAAATGTTATTATCTAATCTGTAAAGTAAATCACCATGACAACCAAACGTATTTCAATAAATTTCGTTAATTCCAATAAGACCACACTAAATTAAATGGCGTATGCGCTACAAAAATAAAATAAATTAAAATAATCCGTCGCTATTGAAAAATGTTATCCTAAATTCTCGTTTAATTAAAAACAACGAAAAAACTATCATTCGTTGATTTTACTTTTTGTCCAAATTATTCGATGAATAATAAATTGACATCGACGGAAAAAAATCACTTATTGCAAGGAGGTACATCATCATCGGCAGGATTATCGATGAACGATCCAGTTTTCAAATATTTAACGTCAGCTGAGAAATTAAACAATCGTGAGTATCGTGACTTGATTTATCAAACTTATCCAAACGAATCGACTTGCAACTGTGGACCGCCGATAAATCAAACGTTTCTTCATCATCCGTTAATATGTCGGTCCGGTTGTCAGAGTTTATGTTGCATGAAATTAAGAAATCCGAAAATACTTAGGGCAGTATGTAAAGACAAAATAAATTTACCACCCAGAAACGAGGAAACAAAATGAGGAAGAAAAACAATGACCGATTAAGAGGAGGAGGAGGAGGAGGAGGGGGAGGAAGTGGAGACGATTATTATCCTGGCACAAGTACGCCTATCGACATTGACGATAACATCGAGTTCACTTGGTACGGTAATAAAATCACGAAAGAAAATCGTTTGGAAGGTGGAGGATATGAATATGAATTAGCAGGTTGCGTGTGTTCCGGTTCACCGAGTCTTTACAAGAAACCAGAAGAATCAGCTAAGCAAAATTCTTCTTGTAAATCTGGTTCAATTAATTTCAAATTAGCAAAGCCTGGTTGTACTTGCGCAGGAAAAGATTCATCGGCTGTTTGGAATAAAGGTGGTCGAGGGTGTAACAAAAAACCATGTACAGGAATCGATTGTCTGTTACGTGCGTTCAAAGAAGCACAAGAATTTGTTGATTCTTTGGGTAAAGTACCTGGTCTCGAAGGATTAGGTTTGATGGATCCTTCGGAAAGTCCTTTCTTTGGCAGAGATATTAGTAAGGATTACGAGACAGATGAAACACAATTAGAAAGGAGAGCAAGGATTATTTCATCGCAAATTCCATCACCGAATCCTCAATGCACAGCACCTTGCAATCCACGTTTTGGAACAGATAAATTTGATACTAGGACCGATAATATTTCTATACTTCCTACAACTTTGGCTTACACTACACCAACCCCATTAACGATAGCCGTACCAGGTCGTACAGGAGTCGTACGAGAAGCTGTACCAACGCTACCTGATAATGGTTCTACTATAATTTATAGTAAACCAAAAAAGAAAGAAGAGAAAAGGGAGGATAAGATCGACAAATCTAAAGAAATCGATCCTACACCACCTGCACCTTTGGAAATTGATTTAGGTCCTTGCGGTGAACCTAAATGTAAATCGAGACTTAAAAAGAATACGAGTACAGTGGAATCAATCGAGAATACTGAACATTCTAATAAAAGATCAACGACCCAGATAAAATCTGTCAATGCTACTAGTGTTACAACCCATTTGACAAGTAGTAAAGCAAGTGAAAAGGGAAAACATCATAAACTGAAAGCCAACTCTGTAGGACCATCTGGTGATAGGAATATTAAAACACCAATAAAAGTTAGCAAACGTGTTATGCGTTATGTGTATTCCATCGGTGACGTTTATCCTGGTGTCCATTATGGTCACAAAAATTGTATCGATATTCGCATGAGAGTACCAGCCAATATGGGTTGGCTATGGAACACCAGCAGTACTCTTTACAATTTAAAACCACGAATTGGTTGGAAACCTGGTGCCATAGGAAAATATTTGAGCGAATTGCTTAGAGAAGCTAAAGCTGGATCTGTTGTTGGTGAAAGTAGACCCAGATCTGTACCGTCTCGTACCAGAAAAACTAAAGCTTTCAGAAGTATGAGCTTCACGTCGGTGAAAAAATTACAAGCAAAGAAAGAAAACGAAGAAGAAGTGGAACTACCACCAACATTGCACATTCATAGAAAAGATGGGACATATTACGTTACAATGTATCCAATAAAACAAGAAACAATGGACGTACCGAAACTAGAAGAACCGATGAAACCCCTGCAATTTAAAATTGTTAAAAACAAAGACGACGAATCGGTTGCATCGAGCTCGACCGCGTCAGACATGGAAATTGAATTTTCACCTCCTGCGGCTGTTAACAGATATCGAAAAAAGCCTGATGTTGTTCACGTAGAAACTCAAGTAAAACAACAAGAGATACTCGATTCATTCAAAATCACGGATACTTCGAAAAAAGATAAGAAAAATAAAAAGGAAAAAAAACCAAAGAAATGATATATAAACGAGTAACGCGCGCGTGATCGTAATAAAATAATAATTGTCTAAATAATAGAGATTTCTTTCAAATTAATCTAACAATTTGAAAAAATATAAATAAATTATATGGATACCTTAATTTGAAATTTACACGGTCTTTGTAATTCTCTATATGCATAACCGACGGAACATAACTACTGTCGTTTACCAAGCGACGCTAGCAACTGCCGAAGATCACCGTAGGAATAATGGCAAGAAACCTTAACAACAGAGAAAAATGAATAAATGCTTTTTTAATTTCTAAGCAAAGCAACAAAGTTTTCTATTGTTTTTTGCTTTCAATTAATTGCTGACTTATTGTTTGTCCGTTTTTCTTCGGTCATTCTAGCTCCAATATAATATCGGTTTTTATTAATTCTAATAAGTCTTTTTCTCTGTACCTGGCCAAAAATAATTGTTCTTAACGAGTAAACTCCTTTAAATAATAATTAAAACAAAATATCTATATTAAATTTCTAAATGTTGTTTGTTTTTAAAAGTATATAAAATTTAACTACACATTCAATTTGAGTAAGCTATTTGTTATTAAAAGTTACTAGGAAAAAAGAAAGTTAAAAATAAATTGAAATTCTAGTAACATAGCTAAACCAATATCAATACAGTAGTGCTCTACTTTTACCTTACCGACAGTAAAAAAACTGCGAAAATAAAGCAAGCAATTATTGATTATAAATGATTATTAGATGTGCTATTTACTGCAATTTACCTTTTCTTCTGCGACAAAAATTTATTACTGTCAGAACTCTGTTTTACCGACTAAGAACATTCTGTTTGACCGACTGAGTATTAAAACTGTTTTACCAACTAAAAATATTCTGTTTTACCGACTGAGTCTTATAACTGTTTTACCAACCGAGTTAACAAAGTAAAAACCACGAAAATTAAACAAACTATTGATTTTAAATGATCAGTTAGTTTGCTATTTACGGCAAATATTCTTTTCTTTCTGCAGAGAAAATTTTTTACTGTTGGTAATATGATTTACCGACCGAGATCTGATGGTAACTTACTTATGGTACTTACCTAACCTTAATATGCATATAATGTGTAATTAAGAGCTCTTATTCATTTTTTTCTGCTGTTAAGATTCCTTGACAGCGTTCCTACGGTCAGAAGAGCTTTCATCGATAGTCGAAGTTTCGATTAAAATTCTGCAATAAATTGAAACAGAAAATATGGATGAAATACAAAAGAATAGAAACGAGATTGTGAGAAAAAAGATATTCGACGTGGAAGAGATAAAAATAGGAAAATATCCGATGGATTCGCCGTGGGTTAAACCAGTTAGAATTTGTTATAAACAAGACGGCAAGGAAAAAGTTTGGGATGTTGTTAAGTCACATGACAGCGTCGGTATAGTTGTTTTTAATATAACAAGAAAAAAACTCATTTTAGTTAGGCAATTTCGACCGGCTGCATATTACGCTTGTTTACCTGACAAAATAGACAAAATTGATCTTAAAAAATACCCACCTTCATTGGGTGTAACTCTGGAACTCTGTGCTGGTATTGTTGACAAGGACAAACCACTCGTTGAAATTGCAAGAGATGAATTGAGAGAAGAATGTGGATACGAAGCACCTGCATCTGCTTTCAAAGAAATCGTTACCTACAGGTGGAAATAATAAATTATAATGTAAATATATATTTAAATAGAGAAACAGTCAGAAAGTCATAATCAAAATTGTCCAAAATATTAAATAACAAATGTTAAATTATCATTGAAAGTATATGACAATAGCTATATTTAATTATATCCTACATTATTATGGATGTTTTTATGCTTGAATATTTTAATGCTACTATTTTACTAGCGGCTTTTAATTCTTCCAGAGGGGTAGGATCCGGTGCTACCAAACAAACTCTTTTTTATGTCGAGGTGACCGATGACATGCATACGCATCCTGGTAAGTTTAATTTAATTCAAATTAAATATTATTATAAATATTATTGAACATATTTTCCTAGGAAAAGGATAAGATAAATTTAAATTTTGTCAATTCATTTTTTATAAAGGAGGTGGTGCAGAATGCGAAGGTGAACTTATCGAATTGGTGGAAATGAACATCGAAGAGGCAGAAAATTATATTACTTCAGGAGAAGTACAAAGTCCGTCCAGTTTTCTTTTTGGTATATCCTGGTTTCTATGCAATAAACGTGGACATTAATATTTACCTTCTAAACTGGTAATACATACATACATACATACATATATATAAATAAATATTTATATATATATATGTATATAATAGAACGAAGAAAAATTTATAGAACAATTTTATTTACAAATCGAGCGGATGTACACAAGCAAATAAGAAATAGTTGCATAGACAAAATACACAATGATCAATTATTACATCAATGCTCGTTATCGTCTTTTGTAAATTGAGAACTGACCCAAGCGAGTCCCCATTTTAAATTAGTTAACAAAAACTTCAAGGCCTTGGTCCATTGTTCCTCCGAATTAAATTGGATTCTAAAATGAAATGAGAAGGATAAAATACAAAATAAGGTTCGACGAAAGAAGTCCTAGACCTTAATGGTTTGAGTCACAAGTAGAACAAAAACCCATTACATTTGATCGTCGTGGACAAGCGACAATGTTTTAGAATTTTGCTGAAGTCGGAATACTTTACTTTACTGCTAATCGCATTTATAAAAAAGAACATAACATTGCTTTGGGTTTCTCAACAAAATTTTTCCAAAGAACCTTGTGAGACTCAAATGATTAAATAAAATTCTCATAAATGAAATGCTATTGTTGTATGCTAACTTGTCATATTCTGTGATGTATCATTAAAATATTATAATAATAAAATAAATGATTAAATATATAAAAATAAAATGATGTATATATTACTTGATGGAGTACGAGTTTCCTGTAGCAGAATCTTCTATTTTACCACGGTCCATTCTGTATGGTAAACAAAATCCACTATCTCCCTTTTCAACCTGTTCTTTAAATTGTTGTAAACAATCGAGAAATGCAACCATAGCTGCATCGAATTTCGTATCCCATAAAAATTTGACACCGCCGCTTCCATACAAAGGAAGTTCTCTATGTTGATCTAATGCTTCGATATAACTGTGATTACCAAATGGTACTAAACGAAAGCGTTTAAAAGTCAAATTCATTTTTCTTGCGAGTGATGCTAATAAAAGAGTTGTTTGTCCCCATGCGGCATTGATTTCGCTCCAATCAACGGGTGCACTAGGTAAACGTCCTAAACGAAATGAATTAATAGTTCCAAAATGTCCTGAATGCCAAATGTGAAATGTAGCATTGAAAACATTTGTTTTCTTCAGTCTTTCAAGTTGAGAAGCTGCATAGGCCAATTGACACTCCAAACTAATTAGAAAATCAAACATATATATATATTTATATTTCAATTAATATTAATAATTGTATTTATTAGAAAAATTACCTTCGACACTCGTCGTCACTTAACATAAGATCTCGTTTGTGTCTTGAGTATTCTCTCCAATATCTTTCTTCCTCGCTTTGCAATCTGACTCTTTCTTTCTCTTGTTCAGCGATAGCATTTCTCGTAGCTGATTCTTCTTTTCTCAAAGCTTCCAATTCGCTTATCATTCTTTCCTCTTCCGATTTAGCATCTTGTAATTCCTTAGTTAAATTTTCCATCTCAATATCTTCGTATCCCAATTGTTGCTGTTCAGATTCTAATTTTTTTAAATATTCATTATAGTCCGACCATTCGCCTTCTGTCATTCGTAGTTGCTGATCCATTAGCAGCAACAAACTGTCTGTACATTCATCGCAAAGTGGATGATCTGCAGAACTACTACTGCTTAATATATCAAACAGTGTCGCTCTTACCTTTGTAAAATATAAAATCAATAATTTTATATATATGTACTTATAGAATTAATTAATAATTAGTTAAAATAAAATTAAAAAACGTTTCTGAATATACTTTTAAATGATGACTTAAATTTTCTGATTCACCAGTATCACCAACCAGCATGAAACCATTATTCCCATTTCCTGATTCTGTTAATCTGAACGGTTGTACTGAATGTTCCAAACTACCACTCGCAGGCTCTAATTCTGCAACGACTTGTTGCTGAAGGGGTACTAACATTAAATAAAATATTATGAATTTCTGTAATTTTACATACGGTTCATATAGTATGCACATAGTATAACTATTATTTTATATTTACAAAAAAATAAACAAAATAATAACAATACTTGTAAAGTAACATACAGATATTTTATTAATCATTATTACTGTAATGTCTTATTTTCGAAGATATAAAAGAAGAAGAATATTTAACAAATCAATAGTTTAAAATAGAATTTACCTACGTGAGAGTTCAGCCAAAGTATGTTCTCCTAGATAGTTAAAACTGGAATCTAATCTCAATGGTTGTAAGCATCTCTGGCACGTAAAACTTACGTTACTTTTCATATCCATCATCGTATTTTTTATTCCTACGATGCACTATTTTATTTTATTAATCAAAACTCACTCAATTATAAACGTTATTGACAAATACTTTTTTGACGCTTGGAAGACAATCAGCTGATTAAGTTCATTGATATTTCTCCAGGAGGCGCTAATAATAACAAAATTATGGTGCCGCCATCTAACAAATGCGCAAACAGTTGTTTCAAAAAAAAACAAACTAACCATAAAATAACAAAAAAATGATTAATTATATTTTATAAATCTATTAAATTTATTAGAATTAAAAATATTCTTATTCTTTTTTTTAAATGTGTGCAATTTTGCAGCAAATTATTTAAATTCTTTTTGAAAATAAATATCTCTGTCTTCTGACGTATACGTCATGTTAAAGAGCCAATCACAATGTACATAGAGTAAAAATTCTTCAATTTTATCTTTTAGATAATCTAAACTATTACGATAAACTATATAAATAAAAAATAATAGTATACTATTCATATATAGAATTAGTGCATTGTTAATAATAAATGTGATATATTATAACCTTTCAATAATAATCCTTCCAATAAAGTAGATAACAAATATGCAGCTCTATGCAGGTTATATGCAACCAATATTTACTTGCTAGTTATAAACATGATTTTTGTTGCAAAAAGATACATAAATCTCAGTGAAAATAGAATATAACAAAGATTCTATACAATATACACAGTGTAAAGAGTTAAATTGATTTGTTTTATAATCTTCAATGAAAAAAAGAAATTATTTGATATCATAACTATATATAGGTACCTAGATGCGTTTTTAGATTATACAAATTATTCTAAACGAACTAAGAAGAAAACAAAGCTTCCAAAAACGTATCATGATTGAACATACAGAAAATTCTTTAATTCATAATCAAGTTTTAAGAAACATAAACACTGGAAATATATTTTACATGCCATTAACTTCTTTCGCTGGTATGTATATTAAAATAAATATTTAATATACATATATTTTGTAATTTGTATAATCTTTCAGAGATGTGGTATCAGATATTCCTATGGGCATTATTTTCTTCTATATTTGTTCACATGATAGCCGGTACAATTTGTTTCGCTACTTTACGACAACATAAGTATGGAAAGTATGTAAAACTTTTAAACAGATGTTGCACTCAATGATATTCATAAAATTATAAAGGTTTATAAATATTATTTTTTCTTTTACAGATTTTTCCCACTTCTTATAATAATAATGGGCATATTGCTACCATTAACATCAGGTGTATTAAGCTCTGCTGCTGTTGCATTTGTTTATCGAGCATCAAGTCATCAGATGCCACCATTATATGCATTAGTATGGGGGATCGGTCAAACAGTCGTTGCTGCTTGTGTTGGATTTACTAGAATCTTAGCAACTTTATAATATACATGTATATAAAATATAATTAGATAGTAACAAAGAATATAAATAACTATAACATAATCATTGTGAACCGAAGTTTTAATATGTAATTAAACATTGTGTAAGTACCTTTCACAAATGGATATTATTATCCTTCTGATTTTTGTGTCTTTATATGTGTATTAATATTGTCAGGAATCATTTTGATTAGTTCCAATTGATTTTTTAATGCTTCTTGTGCTTCTATTTTTTCACTATTTTCTGAAGACGATATGCTATTTTTGACTAAATCTGTAAAATATTTGGGTCACTTAGTTATAAATATTTCAACATATTGTTCTACCAAAATGTAATATTAATTAATGTACTATCTCTAAAATATATAAATAAAATTGTTAATGTTATATAATACGCTGATATTTATTTAATTACTGTAAAATACATACCACAATAATTATTTAATAATTCTGAAGTTTCAGGTATTACGTATGACTGAAGAAAAGATAAAACCATTGAAACATGTTTTCCAGACATATGTATAATATTTTCCGTCGCTGCTGTAAAAATTAAACTCGTAACCAAATTCAACGCTAATGCTGGATCCTGCGTTATTTTTAACTCCTTTAATAAAGCTTCTTTATGAGTAAACATAATTTGTTTATTTATATCTTTGTTATGTTTCTTTTGTATCACAGAACAAGCCTGCAATGCTGGAGTAGTAAAATTCAAGAAATCTTTGATAATGCATTTTGTAACAGCTATGTATATATTGTTTAGTGGTACTTGAATATCTGAAGGTAGTTCGACAAGTATTTTTTTAATTGTATTAAAATCAATATTATCGGGATATTGCAATTTATTTTGTATACTAGCCAATTTAAATAATCTCGTTACAAAATCCCGACATAATGATTTCATTAAATATTCTGTTAGAGAAGTACGTTGGGATTCTTGTTCAAAAAGTTTAATACTTTCATTGAAAATTTTAATATTTGTTGCTAGAATAATTAAATCCTTCTTAAGTTCATCTGTATTAAATGCATCACTAGATTCAGCTAATTTTTCTGCTGCACATAGCGCGTATTCGTTTACTTTCTGATGCAAAATTGAAGCTAATTGATTGGCTAAATCATCTATTGCTGCAATTTCATAATTTTTTATAAGTTCTGCTGTAATATCTTCTAACGATACCAATTCGTGATCAACATTTTTATCTTTAATATATATATTTTCATCATCAGAAAGATCCTCATTAACTTTCTGTTGCAAATACTTTTTCTTTGTCGACTTGGTCTTCGTTTCTCTTCCTTGATTTCCACCTCCTGCTTTTCCACTCGTAGCTTTCTTACGTCGTTCCTCTTTCTTATGAGTTTTATTATTTTTAACTATACTGTCATCGCTCTTGAACTTAATTTTATCTTCACATACTAACTGTAACCATTTACCGCTGGTCACTACCATTTGCGCTTTATGTTCAGCAACTTTATACAAAAGTTGTAAAGAATTATGTAGAAAATCGTCAGAAACTAAAACTGTTTCCATGAACACTTTGACCGGACTATTATCCAATATTTTATTTAAAAATATTTCAATATCTTTTTCATTAAGAATCGAAGGCAAATAATCACGAACATCTATGAACGATTTAGTATTAATAATATCATTAGCGATGGTTTTAATTTGATCTACAATAATATCATTGACTGCAACAGAAGCGAGAAAAATGATATCATCGTTAGGAAAATATTTTTTAATAGTATATTTCGGATCTGATATTCCAAGTCTAATAAGTGCATCATATTCTAAAAAGAAAAAGAAAAATAACATTTCAGATTACACAAATTAATATTTAACAAAAATTTATAAGTAAAATGCAGACCTAAATATCCATTTTGTTTATAAAAATCATGAATCCATTGAGTTTGATTTTTAACATAAATATGTGGTAAAAACATACCAGTTTTTACTTGATCTCCCGATATGATACCTGATATTTGTTTTTTCTGTTGCAGTTCACCCAATACGGCTAACATTAAATTACAAAATATATTAATTACAAGAATTAGACATAACTGCATAAATATACGATCATATGAGTACTTACGATAAATAACAAAATCAGGAACAGAACATTCTTTAGAAATAACAGATAATGAAACAGGTTTTGTTATGGCAGATAAAGCACCTCTTATTTTAGCTTTGTTTGTTTTAATAAACCTATTAGTGTAATAAATTTGTTTATCTTGCGTAATCTCTACATCCATTATGATCTTTCGAGTTAAAGCGGTTTCTATAGTAGTTCTTATAAATTCAGTTGGCAGATTATAAAACAATGTTAAATCTACTACTTTGACGTAATGATGTTGCCAAAGTTTATCATTGATATCTTTCATCATCTGTTCCCAATATTCTTCGTTTATTAAATATCCTAAAACTACATGAATGCCAGATTCAGTTGCCTGAATTTCGTTGGCCAAAGTTGTTATTAGAGTCAAACTGACGTTAAGGATTTGTGCTATGTCATTCAAATTCATTCTACCACCATGAAAACTTAACTCATCTATTATCTGCGTTTTAAGATATTGTCGTGTAATATATTCCTTTCTATCATTTGTAAATACTACATCCAAATGCTTAGTCTCGATGAGTTTTGATACTATTTCTATACAATTGTTTTCTGTTAATCTACAAAAAAAATAATATCATTTGAATAAATTATTTATATCAAATGGTTCCTATTATTCATATTTTATGTTATAACTTTAAATTAGTATCATTTTGTCGTTCCATATGTTTAATTTTTTTTTAAAGAATTTATATCAATTTTTACTTTGAACAAATAAAAAAAAATAAAATAAAATAGACTATAAATTATAATAAAATTACAATACTGGGGTATTATAGCAACCATTAGACATTGTATAATAATAAAACAATAAAATATACTGTATAAAACATACTTTTGCAAATTGCTACTAAGCTGTGCACTTTGAAAGTCTGCCGCTAATTTTTCTATTTCCTCCCAATCCATGATAATGGCCTTTTTGTTAAAAATAATCTTCTATTGTTTATATTCTTTGAAATTTTTAAAATACTTTCTTTTTACACTTTTATTACACATACGAAATACACTTGACTTAGCAATCGCATGAAGTTGTCAACATCTGCATATGAACAGGTTATGTTTGAATTTAGTCATGATCAGCATTGCTTCCACTGAAGCGCTATATTCAAAAATTACAAAATTTACATAGAGTAATGTTTATTTTTTTTTATAACATATATGTATATTTTTATATCAAAATAAAGACTGAAAAAATGATAAATCATTCATTTCAAATAATTAGAATGCAAGGTTCAAGTCGATCCATGATTTTTTTTTTTAAATTAGATTATGCAAAACCGCACTTCATGCGTTATGCATTTACATAAAAGTATATTTAACAAACATTATAAATACATTAAAATAATAAATTGTTTAAAACTTTATATAAATGTATTTGATATATAAAAAAGGATGGATTGTCGAGGTTAAGAAACTAAATATATTCTTCCACTTATGCTTATGTTTATTTATTAATTGTTGCGACGGAAGTCATCAAACTTGAAAATTTAATAAAAATATTCACAGTGAGCATTCTTTCTCTCTTACGTTCTGACCCTTTCTCTCTCTCACATTCGTTTCTGTACGCGCGTACAAACGTATGTACGCAACATTATTATTGCGCGTGTATATGAGCCAATTTTTTTTATCCAACATTGAAGTTGTGTCCAACGGATCAGGACAAGTTTCTAATTTGTTGTTGCCTGGCTATGCTGTATGAATGGTGTATGATTTATATGTACATTCAATTATTAATAATTATTATTAATAACAACAATAATTAATACGAATAGAAAATCATGTTTCATTCGAATGACTTGGATTTTTTATTTTTTTTTTGTTTACTTGCAATTATTTTACCTTTTTTTACTTTTACGCTTTTTTGTTTATACCATTTTTTATTTTTTTATTTTACTTTTACTTTTATTTTAATTTTTTCTTTTAAAGTTCGATGAAGAACATTTAACTTCATTAATTTTACTCATCTTTCGTCCTTACATGTGAAGTTTACAATTGGTAATGTTCAGTGCAACATGCAGGTTCGGATAAGTGAGGCCTTCAGTTTATCGACGACTCGCTGTTTTATTTAACGGGATTCGACTAATGCCAGCCACTATAGCAAGCATTAGATCTCTCAGTTAATTATTTTTTCTTATCAATTTCAAAGTTGTTCTCAATGATAATACGCTTTATAGCTGCAGTCTTAACAACAGCCGTCACCCTGACACTGAAGTATACCGATGACACAATAATCCCAATAGCAGCAGATACTGATTAGGAATCAGCTGCTTAAACGTTCATATTACCGATTCAATCGAGTATGACTACCATGTCATCTCCACGTACCGTTCTTTGAGAATGAGGTGCATGTAAGGGTGCCGGTAATCTACGCCACGGTTTACGAGCTGCTCTTCGTAACTCCACCGATGACAAAGTTCTTCTAATTCGTCTGTAAAAAATAATTTACATAGAATAAAATCCCTTTACCTTTTATTAAGTAAACTTTTATTATTATATTTTTATTCTTATTACTAACTTTGTCTGGTCTGAAGCACGGAAATAAACATCATCGGGTGCATCCATCCAGGAAATAACTTGTTTGCGCGCATTACTTCTAGATATTGGTGGACCAAGTGATAAAGAATTCGGAGGGACAGGTCTTCCATTAAGCGGCGGTGCTAATGGAAGAACCGCAGGAGCAGCATGTTCCAAAGCATGTTTTGGATGTAACTGTTGAGAATGATGAGCCCTTTTGGGAGGTGGTGGACCACTGGAGAGCCCTGGGTTTAATGCAATACCTGTAAAATAATAACACAAAATATCTTTTTAAACTGTTAGTCAGTTGGAAATTTCTTTTTAAACTCGTTCATGTCTTTAATCCATGGACGCAAGAGCATCGCTAAAACATACTGTTGGAATAAATAAATATATCTCTAATAGATTAATCAGAAAAAATAATAAATCTTAAAAACTGTGTTGTATACTGTTTAAAGTTTAACAAATGTTCTTTTCTTTTTTTTTTCTCATTTTTTCTTTTTGAAATATATTGAAACTTCATGTGTTAAGTTAAAATAAATTCGTTTGATAATACTTTTTAAAAATATAATCGGTGATAATTCATAAGGACATATAAAATCTTCAAATGTCATGTGAACAGTCCAACATTCATGTTCATTTTTGCTTTCTCTGTTCGTTAAATTTGTATTTTACCTTCGTCCCAATCCACATCAGAGTAGTAGCCAGTAAACAGAGACAACATTCAATACTAGGGAATAGGCTTTAACCATAAAGAAAAAATTCTAATATCACTAAGTATTACTATAACTTACCATCCGAACCATTGATTTCATCAAACGGAGGCCTTGTGCGTTTCATTATAGTTTGTTGAGCTTGCATAGCAGGCTGTACTTGAGGAGGAGTTAATGTAAGCCTGTCTACTTCTGGTTTATTTGGTACTCTTTCATATAAAAGACTACCATCTGCAAAATGATAAATAATTAGCTTAATATTACATGAAAAATTGTTAATAATATTAACATTATATAAATAAAAGATATAAGCATACCAGGTGCTTTAGGAGGACGAGGAAACGAAACACGATCTGGTTGTTTACGTTGTGCTGGTGCCGTAAGTGTCAACCAATCCCAATCCCCTGGTTGTCTTGGAGAAGGATGATCACCCAAACGCGTGGCTATATCAGTAACACGTGGACGAGGTTTAGGTCGAACTGAACGCGCTAAAATGCGCAATTCATTAGGAGTTTTCGAAATTAATTGAGGGGATGCACAAAAGTGCCGTAATGGAGCTGGATTCACAGGTTGATGAGGTGCTCTGGCAGCGTGACGCGTACGCAACTGCGCAGCGCAAAGTCGACGAGCAGCTCGTGCTAATGTCGGTGTACGTAAGTAAAATGCTGAGCGAGTTTTCATAACAGGCCGTGGGGAACCACTACCACCACCCCCACTTGCTCCGCTTCTTAAATCAACACCATGAGCACTGGCATAATGTCGGCTAAGGTGAGCCTTCAGTTTAAATTCTTTACCACAAGAAGGAATGCTGCAACGATGGGGTCTATGAGCACCACCAATTCCTTTACTTTCTTCATCAGATCCAGCACCACCTCTTTTTCGTTCTAAATCTACATCATCGATACGAGATGGAACCTAGAATGAATTCATCCAAGAATATTTCATTAAATTATCTTTAATATGCTTAGTTAGATAAAATATTTTTAATAAAGCAATAATATATATATACCTTTAATCCACCATATTTTTTCCAGTACATCCAGCACGAATGGCATAAACGACATTGCATGTGTGATGGGCCCCAAGCATACCATTGTGAACTTTGCATACCTTGACAACTTTCACAAGGTTTTCCACCAACACCAACCATAAGCATACCAGTATTATCAGTTGCCATATTGCCGTTACTATTGCCATTTAATACATTAGTTGGTTTTCCATTAGAATTATTAGTATTTCCCAAAGGAACAATCGTAGTTCCAGATGCCGTAGACGAAGGTACTGGTGTTTTATTATAATTTGGTATATAAACTTGTTTTAATTTACTTTCTGCTTCTACGGCCTTTACCCTTTTTTGTTGTACGTAACGATCGGTCGTTTTCCACATATAATAATATTCAATAACGTTTTTCAAAGTTTTCCAGGGTAACTGAGAAATATTGAGTTAATATATTGAAAAAATATAAAAATATATTGGAAATAAAATAGTATTATACAACATGAGGCAAACATCGCGCACCAAAGTATTATAGAAATTATTAGAAAATAGAACAGAATAGAACTGAAAAGTATTTATAAATTGAAAATAAACGGTTTAAGGACACCGCGTATCTAAGATATAAACAACTTTTATATATATAAATGTAAATAAATAATGCGGTTTTAATGATAAAATAGTTTTTATACTTTATACACTATATAGAACATTGATTATGTACTAAATTCTAATTAGGTACTAGAATGGTACTTCAATGATGCGCGACCTTAGCCTCATCCTGTATATTAAATTAAAATATTAATATGCTTACAAAGTCTTGACGTATATCAGAGAAATCCTTTCCATATTTATCAAGAGCTTCTTCAAACAAATTTGCCTCTGAAGCACTCCATTCCTCCATTTCATCTCTGCATAATACTGGACCAGTACTAGGCACCAATGATGACATTGCTTCAGCTACATCATATTTGTGTCGATGTAAAGTATCCATTGCATGAAACTAAAATAATACGATTGAGATATATCCAATAGTTTGAATACTAGATCATTATAATTATTACATACAAATTTGTTACTTACTAGAGTAATATCTCTGGATGCAGCAGCTGCGGACATATGTAAAGAGGGTTGTTTGACTGACGAAGAACAATCGAGAGCTCTTGCAAAAGTACCAACAGATCGACTAACAACAAGAAATTGATCAATTTGACGATCTGTCAATGAATGACGTGGCGTCCAGACTAATGTCTCTAATTCTTGTAATCTACGAGGATCTGCTTCTCTTTCAGCAGGTGTTAGAGGTGCTGGTGCTATTCCATCAGCTTGATACCTACTTCCTACTCTAATTTCACCTATAACATTTAATATGATAAATGAATAAATATATTAAACATTAAAAAATCATCAGTTTAATATTGTCATTCAAATAATTACCTTTATCTGCTAATAAAGTACGTTGAGCTGGATCAAAAACTAAGCAGTAAAAGAACGAATCTTCTTTATTTAGATAACTTAATAACGATTCTGTTTCATTCAATAAAGTAACACAGCATTTGCCTCTTATATGTGTGGCAGGCATTGTTTCTACCTGTCGAGATAAAAAAAGTTCTCTATGCTTCATTTGATGACGTTGTTTAGTACTTAATTCCATTACTCCTCCAGGGCCTACTACACTTTCTTCCATGCCTGTATTTAAAAAAAAATGTTTATACTATTGCAATTGCATATACTATAATAGATAACTAATATTAGGAAAAGCTTAAATGATATTTTGCTTAAAAATAAATAAATAAATAAAAAAAGAAAGAAAGAAAGAAAAAAGAAAGTAAAAAAACAATAAAATTCACGCTTAATTAAAACTTATGTTTTATGTTCATTAAATGATAAAGTTAGTAAAATGTATATTTTTCATTATAAAATATCTTTCAATGTGTAAAGAAAATTTTAATTATATTAATACTTGTTCATGTAATACAAAATGCCTTTTTTTCTTTTTTTATCAATAGAGAATATTTTTCATACGATTAAATCAAATGTAAATGAAACGCAGGGATATGGCAGAATCAATCAAAATGCGCAGTATAATAAATGAACCAAAAGATACTAGCAAGAGCGGACAACAAAAAAAGGTGCAAAAATAATTATAAAAGTCGATAATAACATTCACAGCATAAAAAGAAAAGTATTTTTTTTTTTTTTTTTTTTTAATAAAAAAAAATATGTAGAGAAGCCTCAGATTACTAAAGAATCATCATTCTATACGGCGGGATTTGTTTGTGAATTGATGATGATGATGATGATAATGATGC